AGTTCTGGATACTTGATTTTAAGCTCATCTTCTTTCTCCCAGGTTGGCTCGTTGGGTCCATGATTCTGCCATTGGACTTTGACTAGGGGAACTTCTCTATTTCTTAGCCAATGCACTTTTCTATCCAAAATCATCATCGGAATATCTTCATATGATAAGTCCTTCTGTACGTTCAATGTCTGATAACTTATTACATGATTGGGGTCATGAACATATTTTCTGAGCATCGATATATGAAACACGTTATGCACTGCTGCAAGTTCAAGTGGTAAGGCAAGTTGGTAAGCCACAACACTAATCTTTTCAAGGATCTCGAAAGGTCCAATAAATCGTGGTCTCAATTTCCCTTTCTTGCCAAATCTCAATACACCCTTCATGGGTGCTACTTTAAGGAAAACTTTGTCGCCCACACTAAATTCCAAATTCTTTCTCCTACGATCTGCATAACTTTTCTGTCAGTCCTGTGCTGTATTTATTCTAATTCTGATTTTATCAACTGCCCCAACTGTTCGTTCAATAATTTCAGGACCTAAAATTCTTTTCTCTCCAACCTCATCCCAATGGATAGGAGATCTGCACTTCCTACCATAGAGACAATGACGCCATATCTTTAAGGCGTGAACTACTGTTGTAGGCTCTAAGTCGTGCGTTGGATAGTTTTGTTCATACTGCTTCAACTGTCTCGAGGCATATGCAATCACCTTTCCATGTTGCATCAAAACACAACCCAGGCCCTGTTTGGAGGCGTCGCTATAAATTACAAACCCATTTGAACCTTCGGGTATAGTCAAAACAGGAGTTGAGACTAATCTCTGTTTAAGTTCTTGAAAACACTTCTCACATTTTTCCATCCACTGAAACTTCACACCCTTTCGAGTCAACTGAGTCATTGGACCTGCTATTTTTGAGAAACTTTCAATAAATCTCCGATAATAGCCGGCCAATCCTAAGAAACTGCGAACTTCACTTACACTAGATGAGCTAGGCCAACTAGTTATTGCTTCCACTTTAACTGGGTCTACTTCAATTCCTTTGGTGGTAACCACATGACCAAGAAAACCTATGCGATCGAGCCAAAATTCGCACTTCTTGAATTTGGCATATAATTTCTCCTTCCTCAAGGTATCAAGTACTACTCGAAAGTGTTCCTCATTTTGCTTCCTATCTTTGGAGTATACAAGTATATCGTCAATAAATACTATGACGAACTGGTCCAAATACTGATGAAACACTCGGTTCATTAGGTCCATAAATACCGC